ATGGTACATGCAGTTCATCGGTCACCCAAGAGGTGTGAGTCATCGGCAGGATATGGCAACCAGGTCATTGGTTAAGAGGTGTGCTGGTGAAAGATGGTAAGTCCAATGGAATAGGGTAAATCCAGTGGATAAGATAGGAGGTAGGTCCAGGGTTCTGAGCAATAAGGATAAGATAAGATAAGGAAAATAGAGGTAAGGTCATAATATAGATATGAAGTAACATTAAGATAATGCTGAATTACCTCACACAAGAATAGTAGAAGCAGCGAACCCAAGAGGAAGAGCAAGATTTAGGATGTAAGATAATAGCAATGGACTGCAATGGCAAAGGCTTGGGGCTTTTCAATGGCAAAATAATTCAGTTACAGCATCCTAATGCTGGCTTAGGATGCTAATTGTTATTACAGTTTTACCCCTATTTTCCTTATCTTATCTTATCCTTATCTCTCAGAACCCCGGACCTACCTATCTTATCTCCCAGACCCATGATATTCCACCGGCACACTCTTTACCTGATTACCCGGCTGCCGTCACCCCAGTTTGCACTGCTGCCTCCCAGATGACCAGCGACCTGCATGCACCATCATACTTCTCTTGATGGCATCATGCTTCTTAGCAGTTGGACGAGAGTCGACCGCCAGTCGAGGGCAGTCTATGGGATGCAGCCCATTCAGACAGAGTCCCGCGCAGATGCAGGTGATATGCACTCTTTACTCTCATTCGTCGGGAGTACACTTCTTTTAGTGTCCTCACTCCTCATTCGTTGAACGACACACTTCTCACTGCACGCGCCCTTGTAGACACTATTCTTAGTACAAGTCTAACATGTATTTAAGCTAGCCTATGCTGTGGCCTTAGACCACAGCTTTGGCTAAGGTTATACACTCCTAACTCTTACAAGCTCCTTGCTTTCGCTATAAGTGATGCCTAACTTCTCGCAATCTACCAACGCCTCTCTAACACTGAATCACCGAACGCAAGTGACAGGATAGAGACCAGCTTTGGCGAAGGTTCGAGTTAGTGCTTAACAATTGTGAGCATGGGTTATTATGACCTTACCCCTATTTTCCTTATCTTATCCTTATTGCTCAGAACCCTGGACCTACCTCCTATCTTATCCACTGGATTTACCCTATTCCATTGGACTTACCATCTTTCACCAGCACACCTCTTAACCAATGACCTGGTTGCCATATCCTGCCGATGACTCACACCTCTTGGGTGACCGATGAACTGCATGTACCATCATGCTTCTCAATGATGGCATCATGCTTTTTAGTAGTTTGCCCATTCAACCTACTAGTCAAGGGTGGTCTAGGGGATGAGGACAATGCAGATGGAGTCCCACTACCATGCGGGTGACCTATGCTTTCTATGCTCATTTGCTGAGGAGTGCACTTCTATGTGCAAGAAGCGCGGATCAGAACTTATTGTTAGAGTAGTAAATGTGTATTTAAGCTAGCCTATGCTGTGGCCTTAAGCCCCAGCTTTGGCTAAAGTTATACATTCCCAACTCTTACTGAACTCCCTGTTTCACAACTAAGCAGTCCATCACCATCCATGCAAACCTACAACACTGTCCACCCTGTGAATCACCAAATGTGAGTGACACATTGGACTCACTTCTTATAGTGTTTTGAGTTGGTGCATAATAGTTATCACCTCATGTGATTATGATGTGTAGATAGGGTCATCTATTGTGCATGGGCCATGATGCAGGCATCTTCTGGATGTGCAGATGATGATTAGTGGAGAGAGGAGCATCATGTTGTCGGTGTTGTAAATGCAAGAGCATTAAGCACCTGTTCAAAGCCATGCAGTGGAAGAGTAGTGTTTGACTGACAATCCTGTAAAAAAGAGGTGAGACAGTAACCATGTGTAAGTAGTGATATTCACCTTGACATTGTCTCATTCCAGGCTCAGTAACAATCTTGATGCAGGACAAGTGTCAAAGGAGTACAAATTGACAGCTAGACCTTGATGAGAGGGGTGAGTCTGTGTTTTTCACTTTTCAAAGAGTCATGTGCTATCTGGGGTTCTGGCTTCATATGAAGTCTTGGCTATAGCAACACCCATTTGGCCTTGGCCTTGACCCTCAAGCTTTTATTCCTGACATTGTGGAGGGGAAGAGAGTGGTAGTTTCTTTGAAATTATCAAGCTGAGCAGAAGAGAAGACAATGCCAGAGGCGAGGTCAACATGTGAGAATGGACACCATTCATGTCAAGTTGGCAAGCAGTTTCTCTGGGATGCATATGGAGTGAAGGACCATCAGAAAAATATCAGCAAATTGACCTGGTAAATGCCAAGATGCATTCATATCTATTGCCTGAAGTGAGATTGTTGTATTTTGGACTGTATCCTAGTACAATGCTTGTAAGACCTCTAGTCTCTGGGTTACAAACTCATGAAGAGTTTGCCCATTGACTTCTTATATTTATACTAAACTACAACTATTCTAGTAATTTCCATACAATCATTTTCTTACCAATTTCTTACTCAGCATGCTGGAATGCTGGAATGCTGGAATGCCAGAGTCATCTCCCACTTTTGACAGAGATGTTTGAAGAGTGATAGTGAATCTCCAGGAGAGACCATCCTCCACTGTGCAACTTGTAGAAAGATTGGGAACTGTTCTGTCGCTTTTGGGAGAGAGGTGCACAGACTTCAGTTTCGAAGCTCAAGCTCAGCAGCAGAAAATGGACATTGGTTCAGTCAGGGGCCAAAAGAAGAACACTTCAAGAGGAGAACATCCAATACTGCCTTATTTGATGTTCTATTTTTAATGTTGAACTTTGACTGAACACACAGTGACATAGGACTAAACATACTTTGATGACTGAAATACAACCACACAAATCACTGCATGCTCCCACTTTGCTTTGGTTGTACATTCCATGCAATGTGTATGGCTGGGTGTCCAAGCTAGTTTTATAATCCTTCTGCATGTTCATGGCACTGATTATCTATGCATATGCTGTCTGAATATGAACAACAATGTAAAGGATACCCACAGAATTTCACTTGGAATATCGTAACATCTCCCTCTCTGAGCTCAACCATGTCCTCAGAGATTGGAAAAGGGCCACAACCCGCAATGTACTGAGGATGTCTATACCAGAACAGGGATAAACCATTCAGACATAGACAAGGTCTAAATCTCAGAGAACGTACGATGAGGAGGTTTAGAGATGTTGCCTTGTGAGGTGTATTTTAACCGACACAGGCTGAGCATGATGGCCAATGATGTAAAAAGATGACGCAAAGTCAAATGTCATTCCAAGCTGTGGCAATACCCTGGCTCAAAGAGTGAATGTAACGCACTAACTTGGATTGAACAACGTTTACCTCTAAACTGTCACTCGCGTTCGGTGATTCAGTTGTGAAGAGGGTGTTGCAATCGCTAGGTAAGGTACGATAGTCCTTAGACACGAAACAGGGAGTTTCTGCGTGAAAAGTTAGGAGTGTATAACTTTAGCCGAAGCTGGGGTGTACGACCACAGCAAGGCTCGTTTAAATACATTGTGGTATTTACTAGTATGTACTGCTCCTGTGTCTTGGTGCATATAGTCCCGATGTAGCGCTGTCTTCTATGTCCTCTGTATCGTATGGTGCTTGGTATAGGAGAAGCCCTTCTGCAAGTCAGAAGACTAGCGTCCATAGGGCGTGATCTTCTGAGGAGCGTACATGGTGGCTTGTCCATCCTAGGACGTGATCAGCGTTGACCTAAAGAAGCGTGACTGGGTGAAGGAGGGTCCGGCCCATAGAAGTGTGATCGGTCTATGGGCCATCAAACAGATCATGCGTGTGAGCGGTGGATCATGCGTGTGATTGATCAGGTCATGAATGATGCGGATTCGGTATGAGGAATGATGACGAGAGTTGAATGACGAGTTGATGAGATAAGATAAGATAAGCAAAAAATAGGGGTGATTCATGACAGTGAAAATACTGGTGGGAGTCAAAAGGGGCATCGTGGTTCAGACCAAAGAAGATGATGCCAAGATGGCACCCACCTCATTCTATTTTTGGATCACTTTTATCTTTGACCTCTACTCTGCCCATGTCTTGGTATGCTGTACTGTAATGCCTGTCTATGGATCTCTGTTCTCACAGGTATTATCATTCATCGATATGTTTGCATTTCCTCGCTGACATGCACTTCTCCATTAACATATCTGACCACAGCATCAACTGATTTCTGGATGGCAGACGTTCTCAAATTCCGAGGCTGTGGTGAGGCCTAGTTGAATTATTGCATCCTCAAAATTTGATGTTTGACTCTGTATTCATGATTCTATGTGTCATCCTCCTATGCTCTCAGTACCACCGACATCGAACAAGGCAGGTCAATGGCCATCATCTCGCTGAACTCATATTGATGAGAATTTCTTCTCCAGTTCATGATATTCACTCCTCAATAAAAGGACTGCTAAAAATCATGGCATTATAGTGGCCTCTGCTGGGCCCAGACTGGAGTGATGGGCATATGATGGCATGCGGGTAGACAGGTCTCTTCATTATCTCTTTCTCCAATGGACATTGCTGAAACATTTGATTCTAGCAAAATCACTACTCTGACCTAGTTAGCTCTAGGAGCTGAAGAAAGACCAGTTAATGTTGGTCTCTCTTCCGACTTTCCAATGGTTCTGCCATGCACTTAACAGTTCGTTGAATTGGGGAATACCATGAGTGTCAGTCTTCAATCATTCTTTGCTAATTAAAAAGCCAGTTCACAGAGTATGTCCATGAAAAGGATGAAGGCTGAGAATGGAAATGCTTCCCCCTCGAAAGGTAAACTCTGGATGCCAGTTAAACCTAGCCATGCTCTTATTGGTTCTGCAGGGCAGACTTAAATGACGACCTCAATACTATCCCTCTCTGCAATCCGGCGATCACACATTTTCATTTCTGCCTCCATATGCAATGCATGCCTCCCCATTCCCAATTCCTATCCTCGCTTGTGCTCCCCAAGATATTCTGCTTCCCAATACATCCCTCAATGGCTGCTCTTCAGACACAAGCTGGCTTCCTTCATAAATTCACAATTTCTTTGAACAGCTGTACCTCCTTTGACCTCTCCCTGCTATCTTTCCTTCAATGGACATCGCTACAAATGATGAGTCTAACAAGCTCACTATCTCTGGCCCAGGTAGCCTGAGAGGAGCTGAAGAGAGATGAGGTAATGGTGGACTGTCATCTGACCATCGAATGTGTTGCCACACAGCTAATAATTGTTTTAGGAGGGGAAATTGTGAGTATCGCAGCCTCTGATCTTCCTTCTCACTATCACTGAGTCGACCAACTAGCTTGCCAGATAGAGACACATGAAGAGGATGAAGGTGGAGAGTGCAAAATCTGTTGCAGTTGATAGGTAAGCTACTTGAGTGACTTCAAATGCGTGCTCATATTCATCTCTAAGCAGGACGGACTTTGTTGATGACCTTGAAAGCATCCCTCTCTGCATTGGAGAGGAGTCAGACAATTCCTTCGAGTAAATGCATTACAGTATGATTACAACAATGTGTCAGCAGATGCGGAAGGCTTTTATGTGACAAACAATCAGATCCCTCCTGAAGATCAGATACCTCCATCATCTGCATTTCCATATGTGATGCTCTTTCCACTAGTTTCTCTATACTGGTATCACTGATGTGTGATGGTGATGATGGAGAATTCACTGGCATATTGCACAATGCAATGCTAATGAAGGTGCTCCGTTTCACTGACTTGGAAGATGTCAGAGACTGCAGAGGTCCAAAAGCTGGGGAGTTGAGTGGTATATTCAATGTGAGTCGGCACTGGTCAAGAGGAACTGGCAGGCCCAATCCTCGCTGTTAATATGACCGGCAGCAAATGTGAGAAGTTTTATAATGTGGATACAAGGACGAGCTGTTATGCTTATTTGTGTCCATCAATAAACTCTACCAAGTTATGAAAGGTACTAACTATGCTAAGGAATGTGAAGTGCTACACCCACACACACCCTAACACACTCAATAATTGCAGTTCGAAGGGGTAAGTTACACTGGATCAATACTTGTACTGTGGATACTAGTTCTGGGTTGACAATGAATATAATTTGTTTGATTACAATATGCTGAAGTGACACAAATCTGAACTTTCTGTGTTACTGAACACAATCTGATACCAACGGGCTGCCTGGTGCAGTTTCCTGAATGCATACTAACTGCCTGGTGCAGTGTCTGAACTGATACTGTCTGCCTGGTTGCAGTTTTACTGGTGCTAACACGGATTCTGGACTGTACTTCTGACTGTCTGTCTGTATCTTTCTGAACTGACTGCTTTCTGAACTGTTCTTGCACACAAAACGTGACCAGGTCACTAAATACTATTCCAGGTGAGTCTAGGACTCGAAGCTCTTAACCAAAACCCATACTAATTTGCTTGGTAGCATTCTGGGGGCCAGAAACCTGACCTCCCACTCATACATGCATTGTATTTATACTATACTACTCTACCTATATTTCCAATCCTCCAGGTATTACTAAGCTACTTGCTGACACAGCCAGGCAGGTATGAGCTCACTTCCTGACAGATATGAGCTCATACCCTGGCTACCAGGTAGACTTGATCATGACCTCTTGCCGCAGACTGGCGACCTGGTTCATGATTTTCTGGTTACCCCCTTGGCCAGGGCAAAGCCCTTGGTTCCATAATCCAGGTTTCATACTTACCTGGCAAATCACTCACTAATCCGATAGACTAGGAAGGCTACCGGGTAAGTAACACCGTATGTGATATTTCTTGTCTTGCATTCGGACCGGTGCCATCAAATGGCCAATATTGCCAGGATGCCGGTTCGGCTGGAGCCATGTGCTTTTGACCTGCCTGGACCTTCAGTCACTCGGGCTGAGTCATTGGATCACCAGTCTGTTGCCCGAGCCCTTAGGCTTGTCACGGCTAAGTCCTTACTGATGCAGTGGGGTTTAACACTTCTTGCTGTGTACCTTACAGGTTCTTTCTTACTCGCACAGCTACAAAAATAGTTTGTAGGATAATAAAATTGGATTTCTATGCATTTTCCAAGGGTAGATGCCCAGCAGGCATATCAGTTAATACGTCAAGGTGAGTGTTGTGAGTGAAATCAATTGAGATTTACCTCCTTACAATTTGACAATTGCAGGATACATATACTGATATGTATAATTCCTGTAATATGCATGATAAATTACGATGTGACTGTATATAAAAGAAAGATGTGCTATCTGGATATTAATGTAAATATTCAATAGATAGGTTGTGACAGACGTATTAACTAGAGAACAAACTGATTCGCTATATGTGAGGTATGTATGTGGTCCATCGTACTATCCTGAGAGCTAGTAGCGGGAGTGAACAGAGCTGCATGAGTGCGAGAACAACCAGAACAATCCGGGAAACAATGTACATCACAATTCCAAATATTATCAGCATCAAGGCAATGAGAGGAGCAAGTATTCCAAGTGAGAAAACAAGGAATGAATAGATAGAATGGTCTTTCAGTAACCAGGATACAGGTGTTCATCCCACTAGAAAGTGTGCCTTTCTGATGAACACAACTAGGTGGGTGAAATACAGCCCAAGGAGTCCAAGCAAAACAGCAACTGATGAAAATCACCATATGAGCATTTCAATGTGTGATGGGAAGGAGAATGACCAGGCTGTGCAATGGATTGCCCCAAACAATGCCCCCACCACAACCAATGTTGGAAGATGCATGTGTTCTATTTGTATACCATGTTTTGCCCCACCCAAGGAGAATCGAGATGCACCATCCTCAATTCAGTCTCACATACCATTAGGATAGATGGGTATCCCTGAGATACTGTTTACTACCTCCATAGCCAAGTTGGATATGGATATGAGGGCATTCCAAAGACAGACAAACACTCCGGTCGTGAAAATCCACAATCGACCCTGTAGAGTTGCGGAACTGCCATGAATTTTGTTGAAGGGAACTAGGAATACTGGTTTGCAGTGGAAAGTGCAATGTTGCAGGGTCATTTCAGATGGTCCCACATCCATGCAAATATGACATTGCACATTGAGTGGTTTATGCCACCATAGGAGAGAGATAATGATGCTGAGTACTGCGAATGCGAGTGTGGTGACTTCTAGGAGTGTGATAGGAAGATCCTGGTGGATTCAGGCAATGCATTGTGAAACAAACCAGGATATTTGAAGGATGGATACTGCTTTTGAGAATGCATCGCCTTTACTCTTGTCATGGATTGAAATTACGTCGACCTTCTGTAATTCATCTATCAATCTCTCGTTCGTTGCGAAAGAATCAAGGTCAAGAAGTGTTTCTGTATCAGTGTCATAAAAACCACCCATGCTGAGGAAAAACCCATGAGTCATGGACAGCTTTGGTGGATCTGGGTCCTCCTGCAGCATTATCTTCCTGATAATGTGGGAGAATATGGAAATAGGTGGTTTACCTGTTAATATTTACGATAAGCATGAGTACTCTGCAAGAATGTAGCATACTCACCGAGGCGGTGTACTTTCCATCCACCATGAGCTGCATCACAGCCCATGCAACAATGGCTTCAGGTGCAAGAACCGCAATTGCCATCAGCTTTGCACAGTCCATAGCGCCTGCAAACCATTCCTTCTCTGTAAGCTTGTGCCCTGGTACGTTCAGGTGTACAGAGAGCCAAGTGCAGGCAAATATCGTCGTAGCACAGCTCCATATGATATCCCAAACCGTCCTACAATCTTCATAGCATGCAGGTAAAACATCTTCGCCATTGTGAGGGACAGGAATGCTTTGGACCAGAGAGATGGAAATGACAAAGATTGCAATTATCAAGTTTAATTGCATTGTCACAACTACAAAGATAAGTTTAGTATATGACATGAAAGATGAAATGATGCACACTTTCACACTCTCGGAAACAGGAATTGAGGAGCGTTATCTAAAGAGTCAAAAGTCAACAAGGGACATATGAAGAATTTGAAGAGATTACCTAAATATATGAAAGATCAATGTTTGGATGAAGGCTGAAACTGAATGAGTCAACAAATTAAGAAGTAATGAAACATGTTGATTGGCGCAGCAATTCCATCATGGACAGCATGTATCACATCTTTGCTATAGTAAGAGATTGTTGGAGAAGCTCGGGACGATTGAGTAATCAGCGGTTCATATTCTTATCTGTACTACCTGAAACACATGACAAAGTATTGAATGATGAGTTTCATCCTCATTTGAGTCGAATTTCCTTGAACCATGGTTCTAGACAAAGGAATGGCAAGGTCCTGTTAGAGAGTCAATCGAGTGCCTTCAATAAATATTACTCATGTTGTCGGACTGGCATGGTTTAACAACACATGGCAAAAGCTATTTTTATTTCAGGGATAAGCACTAAGCAGGATCAGAAAGGCTGGGCAGAATGCCCTTGATTCATTTGCACACCTATGTAGAAGTCAAGATGATTAAGAAATGTGCATAAATGTTGTGATGAGAGGGAGACAGATGCGATTGGCACGGAAAGCTGTAACCAAAGTACGGGAGGTACAGACAAGGAGAAAAACCTATCAAAATTGACAATCAGTAGAAAGAGAATAGCCCCAAGAGCGGAGACAAAAGATGGCCAATGAGGAAGACAGGAATATGTACCTGGGAAAGAGAATGAGCGAGTTTGATTATGTTGCCCTGACTCAAGGGAAATCAATATTGTGATACAGAGGAGAGGCGATGAAAGGTGCTGGGATATTGAATTTCCATTATTTTCCTCCATATGCAGTAATAGAAGCGTGGCAGGCGAATGTGACTGCGACTCCACTTTTCTATGTCTGTAAAATCATAAAAATTAAAGCCATTCCGGTAGTTTGAACCTAGGCGATGAGATCGAAGCAGCAGACATACGGAATAAAGTGTTATGATAGTTTGATTCCATACAGGTGGAGGAAATGTTTCTCCGAGCACAATTTTGATCATGACTGACCTCCTCGATGTTTCCCCCGGGGCACTTCTCGAAGTTCCGAATGCGTATGCTGCAATGTGAATGCTGAGCTGGAGATGATGGTGAGCGGTAATCTCCATATTGATACATCAATGAACTGTTACAAGTAAGTAGACGCCAAGACGGTCAGTCCGCAGTTGTATTGAGGCAGTACATGGTAGATAAACCATGATTCTCGTCACCTTTAAGGGCGACAACTGAGAAACAAGATCATTTCGGCTTGCGGTCAGTTTGAGGTCAGTAGTCAAATAAAGCCCGAAGACGAGGAGTAGGCGCTGGAGAAAATGAACTGTGTATCTCAGTAAGAAGCTAATGTGAGTAGCGTGCGTAGTCAGCTCAATACTGAATAAATGAAGTTACCAGAAGACATGCCCTGAGTGCTTTACTTGCCGGGGTTCTTTAATTCAAGATAGAGCACAACATTTTACAGCTATAAATGGGAATGGGCATACCATTGATTAGACGGTGACTGTTACCGCAGATGCTGTGAAGGACTTATCTGGGATGGGAAAAAGAATACGCGAAGTTATGACAGTCCAGAAAAGGGGCGTGATTAGCATGTGGCCCGGAATCCCGGATTCCTGACTAAGTTGTTGGTTGTTGATTCCGATCGCTACCGGATGCCTTTCTTCTTCTTACCATGAGCACCTCTGTTTCTCCACGTGGGTAAACTATGAGCGTGAACCTACCCATTATCATTCGTTTATTGTCAAGTTGAATGTTCGACGCAATATGACACTACGGCGTACTTGACCTCAATCAAACGTGAAGGATACACTGTTGGAATGCTGTCTTGAGAGGGACGCCTTTGGCACCTGGGTGTGTCATGTTTCGTTTGCTTACAAGATTTCCTCTGAGCCATCTGCAGCTGCAGCATCACCAGCCTTCAAGACACGGAACCACCATGCGACTTCCTGGATTTCACCCATCTTCATTTCGCGCACATGGAGAAGCGCAGATCTGACCTATGTATCCTCTTCAAAACCTGGCTGGTCTCAATGGCATTGTTCTGCTGAAGCCTTCGTACATGCGTCGCCATTGTGAGCTTCTCACTACTGCGTTCGGCATTCAAGCTTCGTATTTGATTGAGCGTATCGCCAAGTGCTTTGTTTCATTCCATATAGTCCAATGGCTAACATTTATAGTAGATTATGCTTCCTCGCTATGGCACAACCGCTGCAGGTGTTCCGGTCTCGTTCCCTGATGTCATACCTTTCTTGTATGCCACGACTCACACGCGAGAGCAGGCAGGACGCCTGCCAATTCTTGGAAGGCATCGCAGAAACAAACGAGATGGAAAGATGTCCGGGCTGGAGATCCGTGACCGAGCTGAAGGGACCTTCATCAGTGGGGTTTCATTGTTACATCACGTCCACGATGTCCTCGCCAGCCCTCATCTGCCGCACCCACAAGCCAGGACTTACAGAGACTCGCCAGTCCAATATTGAACATGAAAGATCATACATTTGCAATGGGACCACCCTGACTCGCAACATTGGTCTTCCACAAGTTTCATTCAAGTTCAGGTCCATATCTACTCGATTTCCTTGTCAAGATACCTATATCTTGTTGTTAGCTTGTCTATGCCGCACAGAACGACGGTCTGCTCAAACATATACCGGTGGTATAAATCAGCATCGTTAGCAGCCTACGTGTACGTACATTGTCTGGTCTTTCTCTGGTCTATCATGCTGACGCATTCACAGGTATCTAACAGTATTCATAAATTACGACGTATCTACCTGATTGAGCAATGAACGACATATACCTCGCTATCCTTGTCACTCTAAGAGTTATTGCAGTACTGATTACGTGCAAATACCATGTCTGGGACATAAATGCATCACATCTGACCTTACATTCGACCATTTCGGGAGACGATAGTCGATGGCATCTAGTTTCGCTGCTGTTCCTGTACCCAACACGTCAAGGAGCGGATCACGACACTTTTTCTTCATGCGCAAGCAGACATTGGAGACCATTACCTGCCTATGATACGGCCTTCTATTCTGACGATATACATATCCCAACAACAGATACCCAACTCCTTTTTGATATAGTTGATATCGTGGTAGGTATGCATTTATGTACTTTTCATTGTACCGCGCTGAATCATTTCCCTAGGACTTTATTCAGCGACATTACTCTTCTGCCGTCAAGTCGTCAAGCCTTCGTTCGACCCCTTTCTAGAATGACTGGCTTCGCCAGGCAATATGGACCGTTGTGCGTACATCTCTTCCGTGACATCAATGCAGCCAGGGCTCCTTTGGACGCGCTAGGTTAATACAATGCGATGAAGAGAACAACGTCAAAGAACGGGGCCGAGAAGACTAAGTGGATGTTACGACATGGCTGCCGGTAGAGCAAACGGAAGAGGGCTGGGAAATAGTTGACATCTACCGAAGAAGACAACAGGTACGTTCTTCGGTCTCTCAGGCTGGATTTCGTGCCTACTGTCAATGGATCGAAGGTTTGCATGCAGGTTAACTTCGTGTATGCGGATGGTGGCTTCAGTAATGGCGTTTTTCCCTTTCCTGTTATTTAATGAGTCAAGTACTGAAGTTCTTTTGTCTACTAGGTAGACCAGCGTGGATGCCACATTTCACTGGACCACAGCCAGAAGCTGGAGTATTCGAAGCGGTTCTCTTTCCCGCTGCAATTCAACCCTTACGACATCATCTCAATCTTCGATTATAAATGGTGTACCTATGAGGAAGCTGACCCTTTCACTGCATAAACGATGGCCAGATGAACTTTCATCTTTAGGCGTCGAGCCTTTATTACGGGCGAACCTGGCTTGCACTCGGACTATTGTTCACAAATTTTTTGATATTATTGTGAATCCCTTAGTTGAGCGACTTGCCTTTATTAAATATACACGTACTGACCGTATTCATAGGATACATATGTGTGTGCAATACATACTGCTTTTGTATACCAGAGTCCAATTCTAGTCATTTAATCTATCTGCCCGACCCGGGACGTGGCCTGGGCCTATAAAATCAGAAATTGTCGTGACGCTTCTGATCGCTTTTACCCAAGAGGAACCTGCCCTCATTCCGACCGATGCTCAAATATCTGCAGCTCCAGTTATGTCTCTGACGAGAGTACCTGCACAGTGCACGCCAATCCGAGATGATATGTGCCTCGATATTACGCTCATATCTTTCTTCACGGATTTTACCGCAGGCTAAGTCTCTTTGTATACGATTATTATTCCAGGGCTTGCAATGGAATAACAATACTTATCAACGACTCGTTGTGGTCACTCCACTCACATTCGTCAGACCTCACCGTACCAGAGGACGAATGTGTCAGCTAGTGTTTAGGATACCGTATGTTAAGATCTTTTCTCATACGTTGACGCTAATCTTGATTGCGCACGTCTCCAGAGCACTCTTATAACGGTACTGCACAGGGGTTGTTCCTCACCCTCAGCTTAATTTTCCTGACGGCTGTCATGCTTAGGATGATAAACGCTTAGAGTTACCCAATCTTGCATACCGAGAAAAGATTATGGTGGGATGGAGTCAACGTAGCAATATTGTTACAGGAACAGAATCAAGTCATACTGCATACAATCGTACAATTCAAATATCCTAACAATCATTCAGTTGGGCCGGACCGGCGGAACATCTCTTTACGCTCGACAGTTATCAGGGACGTTCTCGTCATCGACATAATTATCAGCGTACACTCCCAGACCACGGCTTGCGAACACATTCCACAGAATGCACGAGTTGTCCCCATTGTAGCGGTTCATGTCAGCCTGGATCCATGCATCACGAGCACATATAACTGAAGGACCAGTCAGATGGCTGTAGATAAACCGAGGATATGAACTCACAGGTGGGATTGCACGGCTGCAGGGCGAGCGCATCAATGAAGAGGTGAAGATAGACAATATTTCCTTCCAATCCTGAAGCGTCCTCCATAGCAGTCGAAGACCATCCGTGTACCTCCATGAGGGCTGCGTAAACATTATGCAGCATATTAGCCCACACCTCGCCAATATCTGAAGACCAGTGAGAAAAGTGACACATTGAGACGGTGACAAAACCGTGTACCGTGAGTCGAAGAGAGCTCCCTAATAGAAGAATATCTGAGTGGATTAACGCTAGGATCCGTAGAATATGGGTAATCGCGGGCACCAGAAGGATTGTTTATCGCCCAGGCGAAGAGAACATAATCAGTGATATTGCCACTTGTCTGTTCAGTCCATCTGTAAATGGGTGAGTATTCCAAGTAAGCGAAGAAAGTATAAGAACTCTTACTCGGCCATCGCATCGGACCATCCTGACAAATACATCAGTTATTGAAACTTACGCAAAAGGTTGTAAGTGGTCCTAACCTTCCCCCAATCCACTGGATTCGGTGGTCTGCAAGCACGTAGCTGTTCCACCTCCGGTCAAGCGATTGCTGAGACCATGTGTATACTCATGAACAATGAGATCATTCTGCATCGCTCCATCACGATACGGGATTGTATAATCGAAGATGAACATTTGACAAAGACCTGGCTGCCCGCTAATTCCAGTGTAAGTATCATGCCTGCGAGTTGAGCAAACAGCGTACTCTGGAGTCACATAGAAATAGGCATTATTCATACCGAACGTATCTTGAACAGATATAAACAGAGGATCCCCTTCCGCTCCACCACGACCAAAGTTACTGATTTGGTAATTGTAGGCGGATTCAGTCCAGCCGTATTTGTAGGTGAAGTCGTGTATCTTGTTGATGACATAGAAGGCGTTAGTGCGAGCCGCATCAACGTTACTACCCTCCGCAGGGTCTACAGTGACATCATAAGGGTAGTCAAAGGTTTCCGGTGATGACTCAATGGTAGTGTTGGTCGAAGATCCCTTATAGGAGATAACATTGTTTCCTCTGTATACAACTTCAGAGATTGGGAAAAAAGTCAAAGAAATCGGAGACTTACAAAGTCTGTCCACTCAGTACCCAGCCCGCAGGAGAAGATAAAAAGTCCTCTGGATTGACCAGAGTTTCCTGCCCTTCTGCCACAGAGGCGCTGGTTATAGGAACAACCGTATACTATGTCTGGATTAGGTGACAACCATAACTGAGAGTAGGGATATCATTACTGTCGCATCAGCAGACATATCTGTGACTGCTAAGATTTCTCCAGAATGAGCATCGACGAACACCTGGTAGGCGATGTTCGCCTCGGGATTCATCACTTGAACTACATGAGTGAGCGCAACAGAACCATCTGATTGCGCCAAATATTCAAGTGAGCTAATCCCATTATATGGGGCAGCGAACGCATCCTCAACCTTTGGAATAATAGATTCAAGAGCTACAGATGGTGAAGACGATGCAATATTGTCTATGGGTGGGTTCAGATCGAGAGGAAAGGCCCAGTGATATGACTTGCTTACATGTATCTACAAAAGACGATCCAAAAGCGACAGCATTCCCGTTCTTGAAAGCGACATTTGCGACAGCGTTGGCGAATGTAACACCATCCTAACGAGAAGCGATATCAGCGTGCGGAATGAAGTGGAGAATTTTGAGAAAGAGATATATACATGGTATTGAGTTACATAGGCATAACTCATGCCGTTCTCAGCAGAGCGTCCAGAGCGGTAGGCGATAGCAGAGGAGTCGATCCCTAGCTCGGATGCAATAAAGGAAATAGTCGACATATTCAGGTCCTCATTGCTGAAAGACGGGGCCTCTTTTCCCTCTCCATACGTCTGCGGGAAAGATATGACATCGTAGCAGTAACATATAAACATGAGAACTGTACCGCATACGATGACTTGGGATGGTATGTTTCGATCTGGACATCACGCCCGATTGTTATAAACCGGCGGGTGGAGTGCTTTGTATACATGGGCGAAGGAGCCCCGAATGCGTCTCTTGCCATAAACATAGCAAGGAGCATAGAGAATAATCCCGTAAAAAAAGCGTGCATCTTCAATGAATCTTTGGATGGAAAGACGAGCAAAATCGTTGCGGGGTAGATGCAGCACTCCGGAGCTACTTATATTCGAATGGCTTGTCTAGATGCTTGCTTCCTGGTCAGTTCCGACTTGTGACAGCAGTCGATGTATAGTTTGAACAAAGCGAAGATATATTCAAATCAGTATACTATCCAATACTGACAAAAGGAGAACAATCTAATGGAATTCATAGTAGGATGCCACGCCAGCAGAAAGGCCACACGCGACTCACAAGTAGCATTCACGCTGTCGAGGAAGACAATCGTTGAATTAGGATGATCCTCTGACACGATGATAATACGTCACATAAGTCTTAGTGGTATAGTATTCATCCACCGGCACATGAAGTGAACTTGGATTGACATCAGCTGGTGTGAACATATCAAGAGAGTTGAGGTGAGATAATACATGGAGATAAGGCGACGAATGAATTACCATAAAGCCAAGCTTCTAAGTCACATACCTGTGTTGAACATCTTGCCGACGAGAACATAATTCGGAGTTCTATGAGGATGAGCAATGGAAGCGCAGATTCTTGTGGAGTACTCGAACGAGGAACGATAGTAGAAGATCTAATCAATCTATTCCAGTCCAATGTGATAATCAGTAAACGGAAAGTGCACTTCATTAATTCATTCACTCTATGGTATCGTCATTTGATTCTCGCTTCTAAGTTCGTGTATGACAATCATATTCTCTGTGTTCCCAAGGCAAAATAGCCAGGGAAAACGTTCTGTGTGCTCGAATTGAATTTCTTGCCTGGTTTTCTGTCGTTTGAAGGAACCCATATGGTGCCCGGTACGTTAACTAAATAACGTTCTTGGTCACTGATAGGCACGGAAAGGCATCGTTCTCGGAGGAACGGGGCATATCTTCTATATTGCTTTGTGCTTTACGCGTATTTTGCCTAGTGGTGAACACAACACCGGAAAATCTCAGGGACGATCAGAAATCAACCTTCGAGTCCAATAATAGATACGTCAAGCCACCCTAATAAATTCGAGGCCAACGAGGACTCAGGGGAGAAGAACATGCCAAGAACTTTGAATGAGAAGCGCTGAGAGAGGGTAGGACGCAGATGCAGTAGTTTTCAGAGGAGAGCGTATGTAGGCATATCCTTTGTTCACATGCATCATCTTCCATCAGTACCTGGGACTGGAGAGAAACACTCACCTGAAATCGCTGCAGGAATCTAGTGAATGGGCAACTGGTTAAAAGGTGACAACCCGACTCATATTTTGTCTGTACAGGTCATTGGATGATCTAGAAAAAAGAGCTCCCCACAGTATCCTTAGGCTAAGGGTTGTGAAAGTTCCGCCGGTTTCATTACTACTAATTTTTGAGAATTTCAACTGCAAAATTGTTGAGAAAGGCACGTTTGTAGGTTAACTTGGAGGGGTCATGGTAAGGACCTCTTGACGTAACGCACCAGCTATGGATGTGCACTTCGAAATTAAGAAGTGAAGCTGTCGTGACCCTGTCGAAGGCCTTCGCAACGTCAGTATGCAGTAAACAATAACACATGACCGATGGTTTCCCAAAAAACTCTTGCCTGAGCAGAGATATCAACTGAGAGCTCTGGGTTCTCCGAGTCCTTCTTTAATCCCATGACTTTGTCATGTGCGCTTCATCATGTAGCCTGCGCAAGAAATGTTTTCCAATTCCCAAATGTATATATCACGACTTCGAGTACCTTCCCTACTCGTCTTGGTCACGAGTAATTCAAGATGATTCGTCATAGGAGTAATATTTAGCCCCTTAAGAATCTATTTCGCATCCAAATAAAACTCACTGCTGGGGTGTGCCGGTCTTTTGACCCGAAAACCAGCATGCAAAAACCGGTACTGTTTTGGACATGTCTTTGGCCCAGAAGATTTGGTGTGAAAAGACCATGACAAATATAGCGCACTTTGTACTTAATTTTTTGTATCTGCATTTCAACCAAAAAAGAGCAAATGGAAAACATGCGGTCTTTGGACAGATCTTTGATCCAGTGGTCTTTGGAAACCAAAAACCTCCGATCTGATTACTGGTTTTTGGTTCGGTCTTTTGATCGGTTTTTGTATTGGTCTTTGGATCACTTCCTTTGTTCTTTCCTTTGTTCCTCTGGTCTTTTTGCCCAAAAGACCGGTTCCAAAGACCAAACCAAAGACCAGTAATCAGATCGGAGGTTTTTGGTTTCCAAAGACCACTGGATCAAAGATCTGTCCAAAGACCGCATGTTTTCCATTTGCTCTTTTTCGGTTGAAATACAGATACAAAAAATTAAGTACAAAGTGCGCTATATTTGTCATGGTCTTTTCACACCAAATCTTCTGGGCCAAAGACACGTCCAAAATAGTACCGGTTTTTGCATGCTGGTTTTCGGGTCAAAAGACCGGCACACCCCAGCAGTGACTATTTGTGTCTGAAACTCTCGCTTGAGGTTGGAGACCCGTAAGTCAAGCCCACAAAATTCACTGATCAACCTTGTGACACAAAATTCGTCCTGAATTACCCTCTCGAAAGGTCACCACTCTTGTTACCTGATCCAGACTGCTATTTACAACACGAAGACCCTGCTATCATTTGTGGGGACATCGCCTACCACCAGGAACGATGCCATCCATGCAGATTCGTATCTCAAAATACCCAGGCTCCCTACAATAGCCTAGCATCAAAATAATTTCTCCTTCAGAATGTGATGTAGCATACCGAAGTGAGTTCCGATTTCATGACATTGCCATGGTCAGCACAATAAATCATGTGGAACAATGTTTGACATTTCGTGTGCCTGATGTTGGATCTTGCGTCAAGTCAATCCATATCCTGCATGAGCAACCTCATAGCGTATAAATGAGGACTTATCTAGCATCGCAATTTTCCAGGCTCTGAAATATATATCCCAATTATGTGACTTGAACATTTTAACTCGGAAAATGATGAAAAAATAATTGATCAAACTGAAGAAATACTATGGCTTTTCGCTCTGTGAACTGTCTGCAAGCCCAAGAATCAGCAGAGCTAAAACCTTCTCACTGAATACGATACCTGCAGAGCAAAACTTGGTGAGTTCAAGATCCATCAATTTGATGGTATTCTATGGGTGTAATAGCGTGCAAAAATTCACGTAGGTGCAAGTCGCGTTTTTCCGGTCGCAAGTTGGTTATTAGCTCCCAAGTTCGCTTGTTCCTTACACAAGTTTGCTATTGGCTATAGATTCAGAATAAGTAAGGCCTAGACTGTGATATACAAATCTCCATATAGCTGTCCGGATACCTGACATTGGTTATGAACCATACAAACACTAACATTCTGGGAAGGAATATGGTACCTATGTTGTTCAGTGGGCTGTGTCATGAGTCCATGAACTCAATCTATTGCTATCTGTTAGCGACCGATTACACAAACAAGATCAAACAACTAAGCGTGACTCGCACTTCGGTCAGGCGCTTTATGTTGCTCGCAGGTTTATGTGCAGGGAGCTATCGCTTAGCGAGTCGAGAGTGAGTTCAGACTAAGTTATCGGGTGAATAAACTTTAGTTCGAGACTGAGGTTTAAGACCTGCAGTCGAGCTACTTAAATACAGTTCAGGTCGTTCTAAGTATAGTACAAAAGTCTGCAATGGTGCGGTAAACACACGATACTGGCATGTAAGAATACGATCAGAGTCGGAGGATTAGCATATGAGGATTATGAGAGGTCGGATAAGATAAGATACGACATGAAATTGTAATATTACCCCCCTGTTAAGGCAGTCGTCCCGACTGCGTATTGCTTGGGTAGGTACGCTCCCAATAGGGATGGTGCGTTTGGTTTTATCAGGTAGTCTTGTATTGCCTGTACCAGGGGGTGGTCAACCTCGGACTCCGTTACCGATTCTGTTTCTGACCAACTGTCGGATTCGTCGTTATTCTCCCACCAATCTGCCGGTGGTCTCGTAATGAGTGAGACTTGTTCGAAGTCTTCGATGGCTTCCCGGGCGTTGTCGAGCTCTTGTTCGTCTACCCATGTATTTTCCTCCCTTGGATAACCTTTCCACTTGATAAGGTACTCGGTTTTTGTGTGACGTTTGCGTCCTCGTCCCACTGTCCGTTCCCGTTGGTCTACTACTTCCTCAACCTCGTATTCTTCTTGTCCGTCTATGAGGTCTGGTAGTGGTGCCGTAGGCTGTATTTGGATTGGGAACTCGGGCGGATGGTACGGGGTGAGCAAGGCTTCGTTAAATCGGTTATGGATTTTCCAGGTGGATGGTAGTTTTAGCTCGTAGGTGGAGGCCCCTTTTTTGCTTAGCACTTCGAAGGGTCCTACCCGTTTGTCGCCGAGCTTCTTCATTGGACGAGGGAGGTGGAGATTAGTGGAATCTAACCAAACTTTGTCGCCTGGTTGATAATCCATGGCTGGTTGTTGGTGCTTGTCGTATTGCCTCTTCATGGTTTCTGCTGCCTTTTCCAGCGCTTTGGTAGTTTGTTCGTGTATCTTTTGTATATCGGCTATGAACTCCCTAGCTGCTGGGTTCGTTCCTTCCTTGATTGTGAGCGGTGCGAGGTGTGGTCTTTGGCCATGATTGATTTCGAATGGGGAGTACCCGGTTGTGGAGTGCTTTCGATTGTTGTGTTGGAACGCCGCAAGGGGTAACCACTCGCTCCAGTCGTTCTGCCTGTGATTGATGAATATGCGGAGGTACTTTTCAATTTCTTGATTCGCCCTTTCCGTTTGTCCGTCTGTCTGAGGGTGATATGCGGTTGACGGGTTTCCTTGTATATGGAGCATTTTGTACAGCTCTTTCATGAATTTCGAGACGAACTGTGGTCCCCGGTCGGAGATTACTTTCTGGGGCATACCATGTTTTGCCCATACATGGTCTCTGAGTATGCGCGCCCATCCGGTGGACGTTAGCTCTGTGGAGCAGGGTATTGGTATCACTTCCTTAGAGAACCGATCTACGATCATGAGGATGGCGTTGTATCCGTTGGAATCGGGTAATTCGCCTATCATGTCGACGGTTATGTGTTCCCAT